AGCTGCTTTTAACGATCCAAAAACACGATTTGGATGGTTAAAATTGATTTTAAAGAGAAAGGGAGGGTCAGTGAAGAGCACCAGAGTTGAGCTTTTTGTCATCCAGTGTCTTCAGTAGAAAGAGAGAGACATGAAGAAACGATAAAGCTGATAAATGAAAACGAGGTCGACAATTTTCATTTATCATGTGATTAATTAATTTATTGTTTATCGCGACAGGCCTAGTTACTACCTCTCTTCACGGCCCAAAGGAACAGCAGTGGGTTGGCTTTAACCCCCTCACCACATCGATCCATTCAGAAATCAGAAGGTGTCCAGGTCCTGACTTGAGGGGACAAATAAAGTCTACAGAGAGACGTTTGGGTCACCTGGACGAAGGTGTGAATTAGAGTGAACCTGACCTAGGATCAGGTCTACAGCTGCTCTGCAGGTGTTAGAAAACTGAACTCTGAGACCTCCTTAGTTTAAAGTAGTTTTATTAATCGTTTGAAGTAAATGTCTTCCTAACCACCTGTCCTCTGTCCAACATCTGGACCTGTTGGTTCTCAGCAGTGTCCCTTGTTCTTGAGGTGCAGGTGGACCATGCGTCTGTGGAGAGGTTGTTTAGTTTCTCCAACATGGAGGTCTGAACAGTCCTGCAGACACCACTCCGCTCAGTCTGGGTTTGGGGGTTCTGTCCTCAGGCTGGAACAGCCTGTCTGAACGTCCTGTTTGATTTGAAATGGACCGGGGCGTTTGTTCTTTTCTTTTTTCTCCTGATGGGAAGTGAAATATCTTCAACTACAGAATAAAAGTCCAGGTGTTTAGCTTTTCATTTTACATTTCCTGGACGACTGGAGGGCAGAACTGGGCACACCAAGACCCGGGTTCTGTCCTACCACCCAAGGTTCTGTTAGACAGACCAGCAGCTGTGAACAAAACCTGAACATCTGTCCGTACAAACGTCCAGCTGATGACGTGCACCACAGCTTCTGCTGAATCCAACGTCCCACCAACAGCTGAGTTGTAAAGGCTTCACCACGTTTGTTGGCCGCACGGCGGTGCAGTGGTTGAAGCCGTCGGCTCGCTGCGAGAAGGTCGCAGTTTTGTCTCTGTGTAGTTTTGTCACACATGAAGTGACAGACGCAGGTGAGTGGTTACCACGGTGACCGCAATGAGCCACAAGCAGCAGCTCTAACAGTGATTCTGATCTACGGTTCATATCGATTAGATTCTGAAAGAAAAAAGTTCTTTTAGCTGCATCAGCACCCTTCAACATTTCAGCAGGAATGTTCTAGTTTCAAAGTCAGTACGCATCATGTTGACGCTACAGTGAAGTCAGAATCGTATAAATCTAAGTATTCTGTCAAAGACTGACACAGAGCCAGAACCCTTCATACCGTACAGTAACACAATGTTCTCTGAGAAAATAGACCAAATGTATTTGTCACTTTCCTGACAGCAACAACGTTTCTCCCACTGGACATGCTGAGGGCTGCTGCACAGCTGGATTCCATCGTTCTAACAAAGACTCAGTGGAACGACAACAGATTCCAGTCCACATGTTGCTCAACTCCGACAGGAAACCCAGAAGATCAAACCGAGAGTAAATAAGATGAAGCGGTTTGAGGCTGCTGCCTCTGCAGAGACACAACCAGGAGCTGAACATCGGGGACTTCACACCGCTGCACACGTCCACCACACCTCGTTTCTTTTCTAAATGTAAAACAGCAACAACAGTCGGACCTGATCACTGGAACAGAGGGGGTGGAGGGGATGTTGGTGGTGGTAATGGGGGATCTGGGCGTCCTCCCCGAGAGAATTTTCAATAAAGTACAGTAGTCCCTTGTTTATTGCGGGGGTTCTGACCCCTCACGATAAATGAAAAACCGCGAAGTAGGGATACAGTAGTCCAAGTTCAAGTTCAAGTTCAGTGAACTTTGCCACGACATGCCAGGTTGTAATCGCACTCGCTCATCGCCTGTTACTCCCAATCTCCCTCTTTAAATAAACAATTTAAATTTAAATACTGTAAAATTTTAAATAAACAATCCATACAGCATGGGTTGTTTATTTAAAAAGTTACAGTATTTAAATTTAAAAACTGTAGAGAAGTGCAGCAGGACCCTTCTTGATCAATTACACTGTAATAACTGAACATAGAAGCTCTACGATAATTAAAAAAAATAGCTTTTAACAATTTTATATTTTGGGATTATGACGATTTTACGATGCGACATACTTTGAGTTTTAAGTTGGAAGACAAAAGTCGACCGGTGCATCTGGACAGCAAAGGGTTAACCCATCACAAAGCCGCAGCAGGAGAAATGTGTGCGCGTGGCAGAGAAGGTGATCACGACAAGCTGCAGGAGGGAGCTTCCCCCTGCATTTGTGAGCTGCACACGTGGTGCAAAAAGATTTTAAATAATTTATTTTAAATAAACAATCCATGGCTCAGCCAATTGTGTCGTGTCCAATCTTACTTTGAAAAACCGCGATATAGTGAACCCGCGAAAAACGAACCACAAAGTAGCGAGGGACTCCTGTAAATGCCATTTCCTGCATTCTGGTGTATTTTACAAAGGCTTATTACAGTAGATTAACATGAAACAAAATATATAAACTCAATTATTATTGAAATCTCTATGCAAAGCGTTTGTAATGCAAAACCACTGCAGCTCTGCAGGTAAGGGGGGCGTTCCCTTCAGGACAAATTGAGGTCGCTGATTGGTCAGTTGCCGACATGCCTACTGGATTGATTGACAGGCAGCACAACTCATGCAAAAAAAAAAAAAAATCAGAACAAACTCCCTAATATTTAGCGCTTTGTCACCGAGTTAGAAAAGAGTTGCTCTCAGTCCACTTGCTCAGTTCAGGAAAGCGTCCTGGTCGCTCCGACAGCTCTTCAAATACTCGACTGCACGACAAAGAGCTTAACGAGCCGAGATCATCGTCTCTTTGTCGCAGCTCAGTGAACGTTCACGTAACTCCTGCAGTGACTCACACATCAGATTGTTCACAAAAGCGCAGGAACTTATGCGTAGTGCAAAACGTTTAATTCTATTTTTGTGTTTCTTTAATAAACTTGCCCACGACTTTGAACTTTTAGGGCCGGAGTTTTTTTTAAGAGCAGAAGCAGAAATGCGAAGCGACAGCTCTGATGTGATATTAGGAAGCGTGTTATGTTTAAAATTAGTTTTTATGCAATTATTTTTTTCAGTTTCCATATGCAATATGTTTTATTCATTCAAAACAGTCAAATTTGTTCACAAATTTATTATTATTAGGTCTGAGAGTTACCAGATCCAGGCAAACAGTTACCGGAACGCTCCCTGTCAAAATAAGAGTTCCCGGATCTTGTTCCGACAGGATCCAGCTCAAATTAAGCCCCGACTCCGATCGGCTGCGCGTCGTAAATATAGCTGGGCTTTAGCATCGGACTCATCTTGTCCTGGTTTCTTTACATCAACATGAGCGAGTTTTCCTCTAAATGTGTAAAAGCTCAGCTAAACGTGGAGAAAGAGCGTTTGGTTTCAGACGGGTAGGATTGCAAACATCACTTTGTTAATCAGAAGCTAAATCTTTATTTGATATATACAGTGTTCTCTTCAGATCATCAGCAAACAAGAGTCAGCAAGGACCGCATCCTGCATTCGCCTGTCAGAAGAGCTAAAGCTTCACTCACAGCAGGCGAGAGAGATCAAACCACAAGTCGCAAACAGCAAACGCTGAAAAACATCTAATATTCACGAGTCAAGTGTTAAAACGTCAACGATTCTTTCATCAAACCTCGGGATTTCTTAAAAAGTGTGACGAAAATCCAACTTTGCTTGAGGTCTGGGTTCTCACTCGGATATACGGATCCAGCTAAACGTTTGGACTCATGTCCCCGAGACCTTAAACAGAAGCCGAAGTTTTTGTGGGAAAAATGGGATTATTCAAATTAAATCAGTGGAGTCAACAGCTCAGATATGACCTTCAGTTTTACAGATCCTGAAAAACTGCAGCTGAAAAACATCGCTCAGCAGCTAAACCCAACATGGCTCAGCAGCTAAACCCAACATGGCTCAGCAGCTAAACCCAACATGGCTCAGCAGCTAAACCCAACATGGCTCAGCAGCTGAACCCAACATGGCTCAGCAGCTAAACCCAACATCGCTCAACAGCTACACCCAACATCGCTCAGCAGCTAAACCCAACATGGCTCAGCAGCTGAACCCAACATGGCTCAGCAGCTAAACCCAACATAACTCAACAGCTAAACACAAAATCGCTAAACCCAACATCGCTCAACAGCTAAACCCAACATCGCTCAATAGCTAAACCCAACATGACTCAACAGCTAATCTCTCAACAGCTAAACCCAAAATCGCTCAACAGCTAAACCCAATGTGGTTCAATAGAACTTCAAAAAGTTCTTCTTCAAAAAAAGTAACCGTCCAGATGACCGGTCTGAACATTGTTGGATTTCTGCCTGGATTATTGAGCATGAACTTTGGTGTTTTGAACCATGACATGGCATGACCGTCTCAGAGGAGATGATGGGGGAGAGGGAGAGCCCCAGAGGCCATCTCAGCACCAGCAAACTGTTTTTTTCATTATGGAGTGAACCATTTGTGGGAATCGTTTTATTTTGGCGGCTCCTCAGATTGAAGAAGTCCTTTGGATGAAGGACGAAATGTCTCAGCAAAAAAAATAAACCATCTAGATGACCTGACTGAGCATTGTTGGATTTCTACCTGGATTACTGCGCATGAACTTTGGTGTTTTGAACCACTTTGGGATTATTAAAGCTCACTTTCTGATTCCTGCAGAACTCCCGTAGACTTCATGTTTGAACCAGCGAGTGTCAGATTTGGCTAAAAGCCCCAAAACAGACAGAAGCTCCTGACAGACTGTCAGACCCTGCTGCTGGTCCTCCACCATCACACGCACACCTGTTATAACACACTCAGCTCTCAGCAAACGACTCAGATTTTGAGTTTTCTGCTGGAATAAAAACAAATGAAAAAGTTTCTTACCTAAAAGGCCCCCCAGGAAGCACAGGGACGGTTGGACCATGCTGCTTTAAACTGCAGGACAGTGTGCACGTTCACATGCATTCACACCAGTGTCCCCTGAAGCTGGGCAGTGTGTGTGAGGACACACACACACATACACACAGGTCTTCTGTTTTCTGGTCTTTGTGGCTCTGCTGAGCCTCTCAGAGAGACACCTCGCAGCTTCCTGCCTGAAAACACAAAGAAGGACCTGTCAAACAAACAAACAAACAGAGGAGAACATCTGATGATCTTGATCTTCTGCTGCAAGTCTGATTTCAGTCAAACTGAATGAAGCACATCACATAATAAAATAAACATTTAATGTAGAATCAGGACCAGGTAAGTCCACCTGGATTAGTCAGACCTATTGGTTCAGGTGGACCCATCAGATGTGAAAAGTCCTGGGTTTCAAACCTCCCGAAGGTCACAAAGAAAAAGTAAATATGTAAAAATGTGGGAGGATGTTCTCTGGAGCTCCTCCTGAGAAGGACGTTAACCCCCAGCCTGTCCCCCTGGATGAGCTTCTGTCCACATGTAGACAATTATGATGAAGTGATTCATAAATAAATTAACACCAGCTGAAGGTGTCACATCTGAGCAGATCTGAAGACGCAGCAGGTGTTTGAGGTCCACCAGAACCAGACCATCGTCCATCATCTTCTCCACAGCAGCAGCCAGCCTCTGAGACGCTGCAGCAGGTTTCATTAGGTCCAACATGGACCTTTAACTGGATGAGCCTGCTCGACTCAGTCCTGCTTCAGGTTTTAGTTTGACTTCTGTCCTCAGAGACCATTAGGGGGCTGAGAAACAAGATGGAGGTGGAGAGGCCAGACTGAGAGAGTCTGGACATGTGGTGAGGAGATCTATTGGACATTACGGGTCAGGCAGATGGAGCTCTACTGGTGAAACTGAACGCTGAAGATCAATCAGGTTCAAGCGGGAGTTTTGTTGTGTTCATAGTTCTCAGTGGGACCACGCAGGCCCCTGACGTCCCCACAGGTGTCTCTGTAGAATTTGACAGGTTAGAAAATCCGCTGCATGAGACAAACTGTCTGCTGGACCTCAGAGAGAAGAACAGGTCTGAGTGTACGGAGCTTCCCCACTGAAACCAGCATGCAGACTTTTATCCCATCAATTCAAAAGCAACAAGTCCTGATCAGAACCCTGGAGACTGTCCCCCCCCCCCCCCCCCCCCCAGACATGGGCCTTAAATGTTTCTGGAGCTCAGGATCTGGTTTGTTTGGGACCAGATGATGGTCAGTGAAGCCGGAGCAGAGTCGAGGGTTTTTACAAGTCCGTGTCTCTGAGTTCTGTTCGCATCTAACGCATCGACGTCAGAGGAGAAACCAGAACCAGAACAGAGCAATAAAAAGCACGACTGGAAAGACAAATTTTAAAAAATGTTTAAATAAGAAGTTTATGGGAAAAACTCAATAAAACCAGAGTCAAAGTTTTAATTTAAAAGTAGAAATGTGAAGAAAAGAGAAAATGAGAAAGAGAGAGAACGTAGACAAATAGTGAGACAGAAGTTAATATTTTTTCTGAGAATATTCTGAGATAAAACTTTTTTTTTTTTTTTTTTAAAGGAATTGAATTGAACCAAAAGTAGGACTTTGACCCGGTTTTTGTCTTTTTGTGAAACTGAGTTGGACCCCTGAGGTCAAAGGTCAAAAGTCATTTAGAGTTGAAGAACTGTTCTGAGGTCTGAAGAAAACAGGAGGTTCCGTTTGGGACAAAAGATGATCCTAATCCTCGAACATACAAAGCTATAGCTCCATCTTATATTACAGATCTTACTGTGCTATACTTTCCTAACAGAGCGCTTCGCTCTCAGACTGCAGGTTTACTTGTGGTTCCTAGAGTTTCCAAAAGTAGAATGGTAGGCAGATCTTTCAGTTCTCAGGCTCCTCTCTTATGGAACCAACTTCCAGTTTCTGTCCGTGAGGCTGATTCATTGTCCAGATTTAAGACTGGGCTTCAACTCTTTCCTTTATGATGAATTAGGGTCAGCCTGGGTTTCCTGAGCGATTCCTTATTGCTATCGGCTTAGACTGCTGGAGGACAGATTGACCACATTTCCTCACTCTGCTGCTGTCTTTATGTGCTCTACTCTACCTGTTTGTATTTGTAATTACATTAGTCTCTTGCTACTTCACGTTTCAACTTTCACGGGTTTTCAACGATAGTCAACTTTAATATTACTCATGATTGGGGCAGTACGGTATAAAAAGGTAACGATAAAGAAATGCATTGGGCAGGTGCCTCCATTTTGTAACTTTCTTTCAATAAGCCTATAACAGGGCTGTTCAACAAAACTGCTCAGGCAGACAGACATCCAGCGATTAAAATCATAAACCAAAGTTTACAATGATCTGTTACGTTTTAAATGTATTTATTTTATTGCACTGAATCATTAATGCAATAGACAGAACCCAAAACTCAAATCCAGAACTTTTTTTTTTTTTTTTTAATCAAGTGGGCCAGATTGAAGTCACCTGTGGGCCGGAAGTGGCCCGCGGGCTGTCAGTTGAATAGACCTGGCCTATAATATAACACAGGTCAAAAGAACTACACTACCCAGAAGCCAACAGTGCTTCCGGCCGCTGCTTTCTGCCGAAATGGAGGGGAAGTTTTGCAACACAAAGTCATAAGTAACTATCTATGAAGCTCACAGAACTGGCAGGAAAGTCACAAATAATTCTGAAGCTCAATTATCCACGTGCACATCAACCTGGACGGGGCGTTGGGCGTCGTCGCTGCAGGATAGGTCTGCCGAACCAGAAACGAGCCCGACCGGAACCGAACTGCTGGTCTGCAGAGCTGGCGAGTCAAATTTTGCAGTACAGTACATACTATACATATGTTGTTAAAATTATGTAGGTTTAAGAGTTTAGAACATTGCAGGAGTGTGGGAAGCGTTTATAAAGCCTTAAAATATATATAAATAGTAAAATAAATATAGCGTTCCTACTTTGCCATTTTTCACCTATCGCAGTGGTGTTTGGAACGTAACCCCCGTGGTAATCAAGGGACTACTGTATTTCTATCCTCAACATCATATGCATCACAACCATTATGTAATGGGGACGTGTCCCCCCCCATTAAAAATTCTTTAATTTGGACACTCACACTAACTATAAAACATTAGTTCAGTCGGCACCGTTTCTTTCTTCATGAACAAATCCATTCCACTTGATTAATAGGAAAATACTCAAATCACTAAAAATCCACTCCAGGTTTTCCTGGTTACCTCCAACTCTCCACCAGCCTGCAGTGTTTCTGTGCCAAACTCTCACAGGTGGAGGAGGTGGAGACGCCTCTGTGTTGATCGCTCACCAGTTTAACAAGTTTAGTGCGGGCAGATGTTGACCGGGGGGGGTTGATCATAAACATATATACATGGTTAGGAGGAGAGAAGTGGAGCGCTACATCTGTAGCATCTTAGCTTAGCAGTAACTGTGACGCTGTAAGACGCTGCAGGTGTAAGAGACGTGGTGTGTTCAGGTGCATTAAAGTTGAAATGTCTTTAAAACCTCACACCTTATTGTCCTCAAGCTTCGTGAGAAACATCCTTTAGATGAGTAGTGTTGAGCACAAGTAAAAAAGTCCAGTGGTGATGTTTTTTATTTTTCTATAAAAGCACAAATAGTGCCGATCTGAGGCTGTATGTTAAAGTGCACTAAAGTTGAAATGTCTTTAAAACCCACAGCTGAATTTGCACAAACTTAGTGAGAAACATGCTTGAAAAGGAATTAAAGTAAGGAAATCTAGATGAAATGTTGCTCGTTTGTACACTGGTGCACATGCACATGCACACACACACACACACACACACACACACACACACACACACACACATTACAGATGCTTCTGATGCCCATGCTTAACATGCATTTTCTGTCTTTCTTCCAACAGGAGGTACACCTGGACCTGTCATTCAATTCAATTCAAAAATACTTTATTAATCCCAAAGGGAAATTAAGATGTCATAGCTCATGTCCTGGTTTCATTCAAGAGTTGTTAGATGCTGATAGATGTGAGCAAGAAAGATCTCCTGCAGTGAATCCAAATAATCTGGCCACAGATACCGATCCATCCACCTGGATCCAGCTTGCTGTCAGGTCCAGCGGACCTCTTGGTCCTCCTGGGCAGCAAGACTGCCCAAATGCTGGGCAGAATTCATCCTTGAGCAATGGTCACTCCTCCCAGCAGTCTGCCGAGCTCCTCGTCGCAATGGACAGACAGGTGAAGGTGCCGGGGGATGATCCCGGTCCTCCCGTTGTCACGAGCTAAGTTTACCACCAGATCCAGGATCTCGACAATCAGGTACTTGAGCACCGCTGCCAGGTTGACGGGAATTCGTCCACGGCACCTCCTTTTCAACTCATTTGGGATTTGGGGCTGCAGCTGATGTATTTGAGCTTTTGAGATGTTAATCAGCTGCTCCTAGTTGTTAAAAAAAAAAAAAACAACTTGTTGCCATGGTTACGCATCATAACAAATGCCCGATACCAGAGGAAACGATCATCAGAAAAAAGTGATTCATATCCAGAAAAGGAGGAATTAAAGTTTTCAAACGCAATAACTCAGAATGAATGTGACAGAGCTACTCCAACATGCAGCCACCCTGAGCGGCGCAATTCTAGAACAATTCTGTGGTCGTCTGTTTCCACTTCCTGTCCTCTCAAGCCCAGCCGGGTGAAGCAGATGGTCGCTCGTCCCGTGCCTGGTTCTGCTGGAGGTTTCTTCCTGTTCAAATGGAGTTTTTCCTTTCCACTGTCTCCTTTGTGCTTGCTGAGGATGGAAGACTGTGACAAAGGAAGATTCAACACAATCTGCTGCTTCCTTAGACAGAGAACATTAACTAACTGTCTTTTATAATGAATGTGAATGATTTCGTACAGTTCCTTGAGACGACTTCTATTGCGACTTGTTGCTATAGAACTAAACTGAATATTGTTAAAATGTTGTCCCATCTTGTTTTCTTGGACCCAGGATATTGTCTTGTGAG